TTTTACTCTTCCACCCTGGCATATATTAATACTTTTCCCCATATAGTACAGTAATCAAACACACCTTCACACTGTCATCCATGTATGAGTCTGCTGGCCCATCTTTCTGCAAGAAATTACAGTTTAGCAGTTTTCATTTCTCTTTATCTTCAACATGTTTTCCCTTTCACTTCCATTATTTTTTAATACCTTATTATCTTTACCGTCATTTTGGGTATGCTCATTGAAATGTTCAGAGTTTTTGTTAATGTTAGGTCCTGTACTCAAGACTTAGATATAGATTGTAGGAGGACTGTAAGAGAAAAGTTTTTTGTAGGTAAAAACTGTTTTAATTGGAAGAAAACTAATAATTGGTTTGTGGGAAAGTTAACCTAAACTCTGATTGTGTTTCTCTTATATGGAAAATATGTAATGCCTGAAATGTGATGAAGAAAGCATGATGCCTTCAGCAGAAGAGAGAAGCCAAAAGAAAATAATTATCACTTCTTGAGAATTATGGTGCTATAACCCTGTACTGTGGATATATCCAGTTCTGAGATAGGAAATGAAGATTAGAAATGATGTACAGTTTTGGACAGATTTTTTTTGTTACTTAGTAGTGTCTGGCATGTAAGTACTTAAGGATCATTATGTGTGGGGGATTGAAATTTAAAAATTTAATCACATTTTTCATTGTATTAAGGAATGTATTTTCCATTGTGTGGTTCCGACATAATATGTAATGAGAAACGGTTATTAGAAAGAAACCAATCATGAATATATGACCCAGAAGTAGATGCCAGATATTAAGTGTTCAAAGAATTTTGTCTGCAACTGTACAGTATTTATTCTTATAGATGAATGCAGTACTGATGTTTGGCTGTTATATTTATTAGAATACAGTATTATCACTTCGACATAATTAATTCTGAAATAGAATGTATGAAATAAATTGGTTGGCTCAAGTTTAGCTTGTAGTTACAGATTTAATGAAGCAGAGAGAGTGTGCTGGTCCCTAGTTGTTTATACATATGTTTTGATTTGTATGAAAACATGGAAGGACATATGAACATGTACTACTCACAGACACAAATGTGCACATTTATGTATACAGTACAGTATGGTCATGCTTACACATACTGTACACACAAAATGCACACATGCATCCCACCATGTATGTTTTGAGGTAAATGGAAAGGGGGGAAGAAAGGAGAGAGTACATGTGTAATCTAGAAAATGAGAGAATAATGGAGAGCTAGGATATTAGATATAGTGATGAATTTTAAACAATATTTTAAGAGATGACTAATATAGAAAAGGCAATTAAAAAAAATTTAACAGAGAAAGAGTTATGAACAGAAGCAATAATGTACAGAGTGGAGATGGAGAGAATTGTTAATACTTTTGCTTATGTTGGAGTACGGTATTCTGGATTAAGGCATTAAGCCTCCATATGCAGATCTTCATCCACTTGTTGGACAACTATAAGTACTGCACTGAATTGGCAGGTGATTGATGCTAGTACATATAGTCAGGGTCTGAAATTGTATATAAAATCTTAATCTGTCATCCCTCAGAGGTTATCACATATAGGGATGAGACTATCATCTGAGTAAGATGTTCCAGAAGTCCACATACACATGTCAATTGGTCTGTGCATTATCTTGAACAATGATCTCAATCTCTGATAAATTTCGTGAAACATTCCTTGCACAGTCTTAAGATGTCAGTCATATTTTCTCATATTCTCCTGTAAACCACTGATGAAATGTGAAGCTTTCTTAGGTCGTCTTCATAACTCCAAATCTTTTGCTTGGGTATCAAGTTTGTTACCCTTCTCTTAACAGTGTTGAATGCATGGATCCCCTTCATCAGACCAGGGCTTTGCACTACTATTTTCAATGTCTAAGGGAGGGGATGTTTGAATAATTCAACCTATCATCTAGCTTTGCCTTGTTGACTTTGCTGTTTATGATATTCACACAACAGTTTGGTATCAGTAATCATATCCAAGTCTTTTTCCCTTCTCACTTTTGACGATTTCTGTAGGTTGTTTCTTTCCATTAAAGCTGATTGTGGTCCTGGTCAGACTGAATATGTTGGAATACCTGTGTGTTATCATTTAAAAAGAGTATGTTGGAAGACATAATCAAGTAAGTCATGACTGCATGGGATAAAATAGACTGGGCCTAACACACACCCTTGTGAGGATGTCATTTAGTACTGTATCCCAGCTGGATCAGGAATCGTTTACATTAACTCTGCCAGCTAGTTGTATCATGTAAGAAGAATTCGATATATTGGTGTGTTATTCCAGTAGTACTCTAGTTGATGAACTTACCAAGCTGGTACTGGTGTGGAACCTTAAAAAATGCTGTCAAGAAGTCTGTATCATGATTAATATCTGTCCTGCATCCTTTATTCTGTCCATGTGGTCAGTTATTAAAGACCACTAGAGTTGCTGTTTATAAAGCAGTATGTATTATCAATACCCTAGGTTAATATCCATTAATACAGACATCTGTGCTGGATTCCATAATTTTGAAATCCATGCATTGGAGATGCAGGTATCTAGTTGCTTGCCTATTTTTTATTTCTATTTTGAATAGAGCAGTTATCTTAATAGTTTTCCATTCCTCTGGTAGTTTCTTACTTCTGAGCAGTGTATTAAAAATTATCACTCACGGTCAGGATAAAATATAATGTGTGTCAGTAATCTCGACTACATAGAGTTATATCTCTCATAATTTTTAATTGTTGATGTAATAATGTAATTACTAACTGTTACGTGCTGAAAGACTTTAGTTGTTGAGGCACAGCTGACAAAGCCGTGAGAGGCTTGTTTTCAGTAGAGTCCTTATACCAGCAGCATCTGGTGTTCTTGGGGCCAGACGGTCACCCAACCAAGCACTAACCAGACCCAGCGTAACTTAACTTTGCTGATTGGGCAAGAAGCGTTGTTTTAATGTGGTACTAGATACTGTATTGATATCTTAGTTGTGTGTAAAATATATCAGTTCATTAATATGTGTAAATACATAATGTGATACGTTCTACATTTATATGATTTACTATATATACAGTGTAAAGATAAATGAATAACTGGCACATATGGTAAAGTTCACACACTCATCTCACATAACACAAACCTGCTAGTTATACTTCAGCATAGTATGGTACAGTATTTCATTGATACTGATATTAGTGGTATAAATATGACTACTGTACACTTTTATCACAGTTTTGTTGAATCGTAGGTGTTGCAGATGTGTATCAATTTAGTGTTGTGCAGTATTTATCACATACACACTGTATAGTCAGAACAGTGGGACATATTATCATTTAATAATGACTGATAAGTCATTAATGCTTATGCATTTTCAATGAATGAAATTGCAGTGCAAAATAACATAAATTAGGATTGTTGCATGTACAGTACAGTACAGTACTGGGGTTGAATAATACACGTGACAATATATAAAAAAAGACAAACGCATTGAGAGAAAAGGCAGTTGCCTAATAGTACCTTTTACACCTCGCTTCTGTGGACTTACCGACACCAATCTGATGAGCCACCTTAGCATTACTTAGATCCCTGTAGTAAAGGGCGATAGTCGCACCATGTGTTTCCTTTGAGGTTTCGGTATTAATGTTTCTGCTTTCCATTTTGGTTGGGTGCTTGTGGATGATTCATATGGCTTTAACTCACACCTACTTAGGACATCTTCAAACAAGTGAATGAAACTCAGCCCCATGTTCCTCTTAAATTCCTAAATCACCAATACTGCTTCGTGGTTGTCCTCAAGAAAATTAATGGTAACTTAATAACACCTACTTTTGTTCACAGAAAATAATATTACTGCAATGATTTCATAATGCCTTACTATCATACAAGGAGTTGCTGTGATTATTTACACCTGGGAACTAGGTAGTGTAAGTACAGGTATCCCTTGCTATATGAATGGATTAGCTTCTTGAAAACCATTCATTAAGTGAATATTTGTATATCAAATAACATTCAGGAAAAATAAGATTCAGTTCCCCAGTGACAAGAAAACCCCAATATTAGACCTAAAAAAAAAACTAAATTAGTTCACAAACAACAAAACCTACCTAATCACTGTAAATTAGTAACTAACTACTGTACTGTAATTTAGTATCTAACTACAAGTAACCCCCAATATTATACCTAAAATAATTACAGTCTCTCCTTGACTTACGACGGTGTTCCGTCCCGACGACCAGGAAATAAGTCGAAAATGCGAAAATAATACATAGAAATTCTAAAATGGGTGTCTCTTTTTCTTCTCAGCCCCACGAGAACTCTCACTTTTACGCTTGCCAGCCATTTTAAGGGGAATTACAAACGAAAATTTGTCAGTACACAGCGCAATCACTAACGCCGGGACTTGAAAATACGTAATGTGAAAAATAATTTATACGACCGTGGCCGTCGTATGTCCGGGTTGTCGGAAGTCGAATATGTCGTAAGTCGAGGAGAGACTGTAATTGGTTCACAAACAACAACAAAAAGAATTACTGGAAGGGAAGGGCCATAGCAGAAGACTTGAGGTAAGGCAGCTAGAAAGAATGTAAGGCAATGAATAAGGGAGAGAGTGTGGTGCTCTTGATTGCAGCCACCATGTACCATTGCTGAAAAGTAGCTTGCAAGAATGAAAGAAATTGATTTTGTGAATAGTAGAGTGCATACAGTTTATTCATTTTAAGACTGGTGAAAGGAATTCCATAGCAAATGCAGTAAAGTACAGTACAGTATTGTGAAGTGAGTGATGAATATACTAATACTTGGGGTCTTAAGGTACTGTAGATTGAAGGTATGTAGGGATGGCCCAATAAGATAGTGGACAAGCAGAATGATAAATACTGTTGGTGTGAGGTAGCAACAGAGGAGTTGGAGGAGGTATACTGTAACCAAGGCACAAGAAAGCTTGCCACTGGGTACATTGTGGTTTGGAATTTAGGTTATTTTCGGTGTACTACAAAGTTTATCTTCCTTACAGCCCAATGGTGGACAGAATGGAAGTTGATGACTCTTGTTGTAGCAATGGCCGCCGGTCTTACCACTCTAAGGTACGTGACAACATTTATCAAAATGGTTGGCATGACCCCACTGCTGCACCACACCCTGTTGTTACCCAAGGACGCACCATTACAATGTCTCTCAAAAGACTTCTCCGTGAACATGAAGAATTGTACGAGTTATAGCAGTTTTGTGTTTACATTTTATTTGTGTTATTAGGCAACTACAATGAGGGGTAATAGCAGATGTGTCTTAAAGTAAAGTGTACGAACATTCCACATAATGGAAGTAGTGTTGTCCATTTTTTTCATATGAGTCTGTTGTGTGAGTGATGGAGTGTATTAATTCACTCCCATACTCCCAATTTTTTGAGAGTTGTACTGGTATATGACATTAAAAACACTGAAGTGTGACCATGCATAGTTATGTACTGTATATACAGTACATAATATACTATATATATATATATATATATATACACTGTACAAGTGTGCATATATGTACTATGTATGTATGCCACAGAAATATACATGGTATGGTAAATGATATTTTGAAATGGTCTCAACATTTGTTAAAGGTGCTGGAAAGTGTCCTGAAGTTTGTATGAAGCATTATTAAGTATCCGTTAAGTCAGTATTTGTGGTATAAAAATTGCCATCAGACATACTCATGTAGAGCACTGTACTGTATAACTAAAATGTGAACTAACTTGGTGAGTCCAGACATAATGAAGCAGGTGTTTGTTAGTGTTACTTTCTGTTCTCAAAATTTAGAGCCCTTCTGTCTTGATTATTTAAATAACATTTTTTATGGATAGACATTTTTATATTATTGACACCTTACATAAAGTACAGGGATTGTTAGGTTTACATAAACATAAGATAAGACAGGCTTTCATAAAACTTTTCCTCATGAACATTTGTTTCGACATTTTAAACCCTCCTTTAATTTATTTTTTGTGAATGTACAATATAACTACAGATTGTCCCTTGTTTTTTATTTTTCTGGATGTTTCATCAATAAGTTTCTTCTTCATTTAAGAGTTTCATCAGACAAACTTCATATAACAGAAGGTACTTAATTTCTAAAATGTAAGAATCAGGAAAGTGTGCATACTGAGTTAGATTGACAAGTTAAACCTGTATAGAAGTCCACAGATGGTATCCTTTATTTTGATGGTAATTTTATGTCCAACTGTAATTTGTATAATACAAGTCTATTAAATATATTTGTATGAATTTGCCATTTTGTTACCATATTCCATGCACTCGTGTAGCATGGTTTATGTTTTGGAAATCATGTTATATATACTAAATTAAGTTTGTCTGTACACTTCAATCCTCATGTTGATTGTCATGCTCTAATTATTCATTAGGTAAATAAACACTGCCACTGTGCCAAATTACCCATTTGTCAAAGTTGTCAGGTGAAGTGGATCATGAATATTCACTGAGCCACTAGAAGTATGTCTGTATGGTTTGGTCATGAAAACTTACACCTCTATAGGTTTCCTAAGTAACAGGAAAAACTTGAATTACTATTATTGTTTTCAGTCAAATGGTAAGTAAAAATATTATTATCATTATTATTATTATTTTTTTCTATTTATTTATTTATTTTTTTAAATTTATTTATTTATTTTTTACATGGGGATTAGCTCACCCGGGCACAGGTTACTGACCCACGTCGGGGCCCGGGGGGCGAAAATGTAATAATAATAATGATAATAATGATAATAATGCAGGTAATACGGTAATGATAATAAAGAACGATAAAGAAATACAAAAATGAAAAACAAGATCAAGAGTGAGAAACAATATATGTACTATCTTGTGTTGTCAAAGTAAGAGAAACAATTGAGACCCGGCAATTGTGTGTAAATGAGGCAGAAAATCAGATCAGCAACCTGGGACTTGGTCACAATTTTCGTGATGCCATATGGCAGCAGGGTCTACCATTAGACAACACATTATGCTTCCAATATCTTCCCTGGCGGTAGTACCTCCCTGTTTGGTAGCTGCCTTCTACCTACTACCTGCACTTCAAAAACTTTTCTTTCATAATAAGAGATTGAATACTGTACTGTATATAATTTGTATTCCTTGTGAGTGTTTTATGTCATCGCACCATATATTGAAGCAGTAGATGCATTGGCCACACTGACTCAAGGGAAAACTGCTGCATGGAAAATTAGGTTGGTTGGTTGGAAGGGTAATCTGGTGTCACTGGCATTTTTTTTTTTAATTGGCACTGCATTGGGTTTTCTTCATCTGTAATAATTACTCTGCATTGATTTGTCTTCATCCACGTCTTTGTTACATTGACTTTTCTTGATACAGGTAGCTATCCCTCGTTTAATGATGGGGGATGGGATGTGTTTCTGAAAACCTAATGTTCAGCAAAATTATCGCTAAATGGGGGATAACGAGGAGTAATATCTGTGGAGATGGCATGTTGCCATTGTTACATGTAGTAGAACCTCGATAAATCGGACTAATTGGGGCAGACATCAATCCGAAAAATGCGAAAGTCCAAAAAAATCCGAATATATGGGGGGGGGGAGGGTGGCAATAACTCTGCTTATCTGAACTGTTTAAAGGAAATCAGTTGTTATGTTATTACTGCACTTCAACAACTAAGGTCTTCAAGTGTATAACAAGGTTATTAAAAGAATATTACATCAACAATAAAAAAGTATGAAATGGGACTCTCTGGGTTGAAAATCACACTTAAGTCTGGTTATCAACAACTGTCTTCACCAAGATGATTGTTATTTATTGTTTATATGTAAATAACCATGATCTTCAAGAGTGGTTACTGGTGGACACTCGCCCCACAAGGGGTCACAGCTCAAGGTTGATGAAGCTGCAAGTCCAGAAAACTGTGAGGGGTAACTTTTTCGGAGTGAGAGTTGTGAGCTCTTGGAACAATCTGCCAGAGAGTGTTTTGATGGCACTGAGTGTGAGCTCTTTCAAGACCACACTGGAGCAGGTTCAGGTATGTTCAAGAGCCAGTGCATGCCCAGTACTTGCCAACAGTGCATAACAGAGATATGACTGATCGCCCAAGTGGCTAACGAGCCAATCAGTGGTGAAGAGGATAAAAGTAAAAAAAAAAGTATACAGGTATTACAAATTACATACAGTATTGTATTTTTCCTTTATTATTGAAGATGTTATATTAATCATGATGAACCATAAACCGTAAGAAGCCAATCATATGAGAATATATAATATTGAATCAATAAATAAACGAAGCTGACGAATCCAGCAACACCCGATAAGCCCCAGCCTGCTTACATACTTAGTGTCTTGGTTCTCAGTAGGTTTATAGTAAATCTGATTAGACCACTGTACAGTACTCAGTGAGTAAGTGTTGTTTTTTTCATAAGATTTTCTTATTAGTCTTCCTTATTTCTTAAAACATGTACACTTAATTTTTTTTAGTGACCAGAGCACCTCAGAGTCCGAAAAAAGCGAATTCCGATATAGTACCTGTATTGAAGTCCGGTTTATTGTAATGAAACCATAAAATTTGTGGAATAATCATTTCAGTGGTCTAATTTGGCTTAGAAATAAAGAAAATATAATACCTGTATAAAACTATAAAATAAGAAAAATGAGTATCCTCACTTCCTGGTAGAGTGCATACTGTGTGTGAAGTGAACATATGTGTGGACTTGGTATGTTGCCAAGTTAGACTGTCACTATACTGTAGTTACATCCCCCTAGCCCTCCCCTTACCAGGCCAAGCTGTTAGCTGTGTTATTGTTACCGGGTATTTTTCACCTTGTAATTTCGGGTAGATGTAAGGACTTACTGTAACCAAATTTTTTTTTATGTTATACACACACACACAATCGTTTGTATAGAAAGTGAAACAAAATATCATATTGTTAAAAACATAAAGGAAATAATTTTTTTTTACATGTGTGGGAGTTAGTACACAGTGGGGGAGGGGGGTGCGGTGTGGGGGCTCTCATGTCCCGTGTGTAGTGAAACGATTGCCAATTGGCAATACAGTTTTTTTATTCCTCACATTTACTGGTACAGTAAGATAGTCACCCATTTGACTTAAGAGATGTGTGTGACTGCTGGCTGTTAATGCTGTGATGTTACATAGGGCGGAGGGGGAGTGCGGCTGGCCTCAGTTACAGCTCACTGCCTCAATACATATGTTCACTTCTGACACATTCACACCCATGGTTTTAAATTTTCTTATTTTTTAGTTTTAAATTATAGTTTCCTTAGTTCTATGCCACATTAGTATTGTTCTGATGCTCACTTGGAGCACAGAATCCTTAGTTTTTCTAAGTTCCCTCTCGAATTTTTCCTAGTGAGTCAAACATCACGAAACCGAATTTTAACCAATCGTTAAATAAGAAAGGCTGTTAAAAATTCTATATCGTAAAGTGAATGAATGTTAAACGAGGGATACCTGTACAAATGTAGACACTTGTGTTGTTGTTTTTTTCATCCACATTTATACTTTTCTTTTCACCCATCTATACACAACATGGTTTTCCTTCATTAACATATCTACATTGTACATACTGGATTGGGTTCTCTTAATAAGCTGCAGGAATGTTCTCACTGTTGTCATAATTTAAGCTGAATGCTTCAGCTTGGGAACCATACCAACCTGCAAAATTATTTTTCACATACAGTATTTTGATCATTGCTGTATTGTCTCTATGAAAGGTTAAGATATGGATAGAAAAAGAATTGACTTTGGCCAGCTAGTGTGAAGTGTAAAATATGTAATTTGTTAATGATTACCTGTGTAAGGGGCATGTAAATAATTATAATAAGCATGTGAATTCCCTGTATGATTATATTTGTCAGATAGTAAACTGTTTACAGAGATCTGAATATCCAAGAAAAATGGATTTGTAAAGGACTAACAAAAATTGGGATTGGTCATCCAAGCTTAACGATGTATATAATTGTATGTAATCATAATTTAATACTTATAATTTTGTACAGTAGCCTTTCCTACAAGTAAAGTCATAAGTTGCTGATGATGAATGTTAAATGTGTTGTAGTAAATCAAAAGTTTCTAGCATGCATCCATAAGCCAGGTACTTCTTGTAATACAGACTGTACTTGGGGATCAGTGTGTGTGAAGACCATAACCTGTAATTCAAGCAACTGTAGCACCTAATTCCCTGTATTTGAAGGTGATGGTGAAGGTAGGTTGAATGGTACTGTATACCTAAATGAGTTAACATAACAACTGTGGTTTATATTATGGTGGACAGTTTGAAAACCTTGATTCCCCAGTAAACATCCTGGATGACCAGATCTGCCTGATTGTCGTCCCCACTAGAACAAAGGATTTCAGAATTAACCCGTTAATTAACAATTATTTTTTATTTTATCATTTTCTTTCTCTTAATTCAGGTAAAAGGCCAGAGTGTTTGATAAAGAGTTATATCATACTCTTATACTTAAACTGATCATCAATATACCATTTAGCATTTTATCACAGCGTGATAGTTTTTTTCTCAGTACTGTACTGAAGAGTGAACTAGTGAATGAATTCACTCTTTGTAACTTCTGAGATATTATATGGCAGGGTACAAAATATCATTGAGTTGAAATGTGTGTACTGTACACTTGAACAGTAATAGAAAAAAAAATATGTTTTTATCTTTTGCAACAGTGTCCCCAAAACGATTTCTTTAATATGAGTGTTGGATGAAATTGTTAGTAAGTACCAAGATGCCCTATTTTTTAAAAGATTATGTATATTAATGTATTTTGGAATTTGAAATTTAATGATGTTCCTTGGTTTATAGCATTACCGGTGTGTAATAATTTATAAGCAAATGTGATAATTATTTTTAAGTTCTAGAAATATTGAGGCATAGATGTTTGAATATATAATAAAAGATAACCTCTTTTTGTTAAGAGATGAGATTTAATCTATGGTATAAATAGAATTATCATTGTCATTAAGTTCCAGAAGTGCATAACAGATATCATTATAATATTTAAGAGAATTGCATTGTCATATCATTAATATTAAGTATAACAGTAACTAGAGTTGACAGTGGTGTGTAATTATCAATAGTATCCTTAAAATTGAGATACAAGTACATACTGTGGAAATTTTTCCAAGTTTCCATAACAGAAATGTAAATACAGTACAGGTAGTTGTTAATGTTAACAAGTACAAGTACAGTATATAAGATTAAAACTATTACGTACTTGTTCTTTGGCAGTGATAGTCATAA